CAATGGATTATGAGGCATTGTGTTACTATATGAAGCAATGAAGTAGTATTAGGGCAGAGCATTTTGGTTCTAACCTGATCTTCCCCTCACCTGGAGCACTGCACTGCAGCATGGCCCTGCTACATGGAACCTGCTACATGTTACGGTTCCGTGTCCGAGACAAGCAAGGTTCACGCAGCAGGAGGAAATTAAGTCCAAAACTTACATTCACCTAACACGCCCATTAACCTCAGTGGGAGTTATGCTTTCAGGAATTGCAAGGTCAGCAATTGAACTAGAATGAAGCAGTAAAGCTCCTCGTAGGTTATTGTTAGGATTGTATAATTCCAGCTTCCTATTTGCAAAATAATTTTTTTTTTTTTTTTTTTTTTTTTTTTTTTTTTTTTGAGAGACAAGGTCTTGCTCTGTCACCCAGGCTGGAGTGTAGTAGCATGATCATAGCTCACTGTAACCTCAAAAAGAGTTCATGTTTAACCTAGTTCGATCTCCCTCTACTGACTGTTGGGGCAGGGCCTACAAAAGAGCCTTTGTTTGGACCCAAATTGTGGTGCCTGGTTGAAGAAATTTGGCAAATCACAAAAGTCAGGACAGGCACCAACAAAGTTGAGAGAACACACTCAGCAGTGTCTGCCCCCTTGGCCCATGGGATTCACCATATTCCATTTCAGCAACCAGTGCCTAGGACGGTGCCTGGTACACAGGAGGTAATAACTGTTTAGTGAATGAATGAAACAAAGAATAGATGGGTTCCCATGCCTTGCCAGACTTATTTAATATAATTTCCATGTTAACATGGCAGAATGAGTGACTACCTCAGCTGCTTCCTTGGAGCCATCCAAGTAAAGGCTGGGAATCAATAGGAGGAGCAGGCTCTGGGGCTGTCCTGACACAAAGTTATTTATTTATTTATTTATTATTTTTTTTTTTTTTGAGACGGAGTTTCGCTCTTGTTACCCAGGCTGGAGTGCAATGGCACGATCTCGGCTCACCGCAACCTCTGCCTCCTGGGTTCAGGCAATTCTCCTGCCTCAGCCTCCTGAGTAGCTGGGATTACAGGCACGAGCCACCATGCCCAGCTAATTTTTTGTATTTTTAGTAGAGACAGGGTTTCACCATGTTGACCAGGATGGTCTCGATCTCTCGACCTCGTGATCCACCTGCCTCGGCCTCCCAAAGTGCTGGGATTACAGGCTTGAGCCACCGCGCCCGGCCCTGACACAAAGTTATTTTTTAAGCCCTATTTTTAAGCTATGCATGGCTGGATGTGGAGGTGGGGGGCCTATTGAGGCTCTTGCTGGGCCTCCCTGAGTTGGTAAGCTGAAAATCTTCTGCAGGCTTCCATAATTCTTTTTGTTTTTTTTTTTCTAATTTTTATTTTTTAGGCTGGGCACAGTGACTCACACCTGTAATCCAGAACTTTGGGAGGCCAAGGTAGGTGGATCATGAGGTCAGGAGTTTGAGACCACCCTGGCCAACATGGTGAAGCCCCATCTCCACTAAAAATATAAAAATTACCCGGGTATGGTGGTGCGTGCCTGTAATCTCAGCTACTCAGGAGGCTGAGGCAGGAGAATCACTTGAATCTGGGAGGTGGAGGTTGCAGTGAGCTGAGATCATGCCACTGTACTCCAGGCTGGGTGACAGAGCAAGACTCTGTCTTTAAAAAATAAATAAATATTTTGTTTTTTAGAGATAGGGTCTTGCTAAGTTGCCCATCCCAATCTCATTACTCACATATTTTTGGGGAACTGAGAGTTCAGAATGACAAGTAAAAAGTTAATACCCTCTCCTAAATGCAGAAGAGCCTAATAAACCAAATAAACATCCCCACCACCACCCACCCACTGCCGCTTGTTTTTTCTGAGACAGTCTTGCTCTGCTACCCAGATTGGAGTGTAGTGTTGTGATCTTGGCTCACTCCACTTCCTGGGTTCAAGCGATTCTTGTGCCTCAGCCACCCAAGTAGCTGAGCTTATAGGCCTTGGCCACCATGCCTGGCTAATTTTTGTATTTTTGGTAGAGACAGGGTTCTGCCATGTTGGCCAGGCTGGTCTTGAACTCCTTGCCTCAAGTGATCCACTTGCCTCGGCCTCCCAAAGTGCTAGGATTATAGGATAAGCCACCACACCCAGCCAGCGGAACACCTTTCAATCAATTCCCCTCGAGCAGGGCCATCTTGTGCTTATGAAGAGCAAAGTATGCTTATCCCAGCTGTACCATTGTAACTGTACCATTTAATGTACATGTAATGTAATGTACCATGTAATGCTGTAATGTACCATTTTCACATTAAAGTAGGTCACGACTAGGTAGATACAGAACTCTAGAACCAAGCAAGCATGTTTAAAATCAAGGTCATGGAGGTGAATAGGGCTTAAAAAATAACTACCTAGTTCTTTCCTCTGTCTATAATAGTAAGTTAGGCTCTATAGCTGAACCTACTCAGAAATCTAAGAATTTCTCCATTTTAAACGACTTTCTTTTTTTTTTTTTTTTTTTTTTGAGACGGAGTTTCGCTCTTGTTACCCAGGCTGGAGTGCAATGGCACGATCTCGGCTCACCGCAACCTCCGCCTCCTGGGTTCAGGCAATTCTCCTGCCTCAGCCTCCTGAGTAGCTGGGATTACAGGCACGCGCCACCACGCCCAGCTAGTTTTTTTTTTGTATTTTTAATAGAGACGGGGTTTCACCATGTTGACCAGGATGGTCTCGATCTCTTGACCTCGTGATCCACCCGCCTCAAAGGCTGGGATTACAGGCTTGAGCCACCGCGCCCGGCTTAAACGACTTTCTTAAAACAGAAGTCTATCCTATGGAATCCATTCCAATGTTTTACATGACTTAAAATTCTTAAACTCCTAGTCCAAAATCCCATGGTCAATGCCATGCCCCTGGTTCTTTTTGTACTGAGTCCAAGGCAACTGGTTGATATCTTATCAAAACCCTTGATTGGCTAAAGGCTATTTATTTATCCTTTTTTTATTCTTTTTTTGAGATGGAGTCTCCTTCCATCGCCCAGCCTGGAGTACAGTGGCGCGATCTCTGGTCACTGCAACCTCCACCCCCCAGGTTCAAGCAATTCTTGTGCCTCAGCCTCCCAAGTAGCTGGGATCAAAGGTGCCCATCACCACACCTGGATAATTTTTGTATTTTTAGTAGAGATGAGTTTTCACCATATTGGTCAGACTGGTCTTGAACTCCTGAGTAATCTACCTGCCTTGGCCTCCCAAAGTGCTGGGATTATAGGCGTGAGCCACCACGTCCACCCTGAAGCTTGTTACTTAAAAACTAAATTATTCAGCTCCTGATGATAAGGACCATGGCTTATAACTTTCTGTATCCTCCAATAAAGTCTTCAGGTATAGATGGAATTCAAGTTATTTACCATCCTTGAACCTTTCTTTAATGTTCTTAATATTATTATTTAACTATGGAAAAACTGAATCTATCACTTTGCTAAAAGTTTAACCAGGACACCTTATAAAGAAAAGAAAACCTACCATTTTTACTCTTTCCTTCCTTCCTTTCTCCTTCCTTCTCTTTCTTTCTTTCTTTCCCCTCCCTCCCTCCCTCTTTCTGTGACAGAGTCTCACTCTGTTGCCCAGCCTGGAGTGCAGTGGTACAATCTTGGCTCACTGCAACCTCCGCCTCCCAGGTTCAAGCAATTCTTGTATCTCGGCCTCCCAAGTAGCTGGGATTACATACACATGCCATGACGCCCAGCTACATTTTGAATTTTTAGTAGAGATGGGGTCTCACCATCTTGGCCAGGCTTGTCTCGAACTCCTGACCTTAAGTGATCCACTCACCTTGGCCTCCCAAAGTGCTGGGATTATAGGCATAAGCTATCATACCCAGAATATTTATTTATTATTTTTTAGAGACAGGGTCTTGCTCTGTCACCCAGCTGGAGTGCAGTGGTGTGATCATAGCTCACTGTAGCCTGGAACTCCTGAGCTCAAGCGATCTCTTACCTCAGCCTCTCTATTAGCTGGGACTACAGGTCTGGGACCACCTGAGACCACCATACCTGGTCATTTTTACATCTCTTAGCTGTCTTTTTAAAAAACAAACTCTATTCCTGATCCATTTGGGATAATTTACAATAGATAATCACTATGTCATCAGTCATTAGGGTGAGATATTTGTGATTCAAAGATATTTATGATTCATTTGTTTTCTTGAGACACTGGGTTCAAAGATGTCTATGATACATTTGTTTTCTTAATTCAATTACAAAAAAAGGAAGAAAATAGCATTTGTTTAGGTTCGGTGGCTCACGCCTGTAATCCCAGCACTTTGGGAGGCTGGAGCAGGCGGATCATGAGGTTGAGACCATCCTGGCGAACACAGTAAAACCCCATCTCTACTAAAATACAAAAAATTAGCCCAGCGTGGTGGCACGTGCCTATAGTCCCAGCTACTCGGGAGGCTGAGGCAGGAGAATTGCTTGAACCTGGGAGGCAGAGGTTGCAGTGAGCCGAGATCGTGCCACTGAACTCCAGCCTGGGCGACAGAGCGAGACTCTATATATAAGAAATAAAAAATAAAAAATAAAAATAAAAAAAAAAGCATTTGTTTGAAAACTACCTCAACGTTTCTCCTACCAAACATGATTTGGCAATCTTTTGGCATGAATAGTATGATTGCAGTAGGAGCTTTGTTTAATAAGTAAACATAGTGAAAAGTTCAAAAGGTGCCATGCAAAAGATCGAAAGGAAGATTCTTTTCCTGAGACCCTCTGCCAACTGTTACTCTTCTGATGCCTTTCCTGCTTCGTGAACAAGCCTTAAGACAGCTTCTCTGTTCCGTTTTTGACCACTATGTGGCACCAGAACTTTGAATTAGGAAATAGAAAAAAAATCTGCTTAACTAGTCTTCATATGATTTGCTGTGAACCTTTAATCAATACCTGCTAAAAATAATAATTCGGTTTTTTTTCCATTGATTTGGAATATGGTGGCTCTCTACCATCTGTTGTTGTCTTTTCTTTTGTCTTTTCTTTTGAGACAGTTCTGCTCTGTCAACCAGGTTGGAGTACAATGATATAATGTTGACTCACTGCAGCCTCAACTTCCTGGGTTCAAGCGATTCTCCTGCCTCAGCCTCCCAAGTCGTTGGGACTACAGATGTACACCACCATGCCAAGCTAATTTTTTTGTACTTTTAGTAGAGATGGGATTTCACCATGTTGGCCAGGCTGGTCTCAAACTCCTGACCTCAGGTGATCTGCCTGCCTCGGCCTCTCAAAGTGCTGGGATTATAGGCATGAGCCACTGCGCCCAGCCCATTAGTTGTTTCTTATGGTCTCTGCCATGGGGAAAAGCAGGTTAAAAAACATGCAAATCACTACTGTGGTCCCCTGGTTGGCTGTAGATTTAGCAGCTTTTCTTTGTGCCACAGCAGCCTCCAGCAGCATCGGGAACACATCTGGACTTCACACTGTCAGACTCTTCTGCAAGCTTAAATGGATCTGTGATTACAACCTGTCAAAAGGCAAACCAAAATGAAAGCACAAGTTAAAGGTGTTTTGATGTACCCAAACACTAATATTTCTGTTTGATTTAGGTTGATTTACATAGAACAGAGATAAAATGTTACAATCCATGGGGTCCTGAGAGTAACATCAGTCATTCTGCCTTAAAGCCACTTACTTCCTGAAGCTCCTAATGAAATGATTACAACTTTCAAGGTAAAATTCACTTAATGCTTTTTAAAGGCCGGGCGTGGTGGCTCAAGCCTGTAATCCCAGCACTTTGGGAGGCCGAGGCGGGTAGATCACGAGGTCAAGATATCGAGACCGTCCTGGTCAACATGGTGAAACCCCATCTCTACTAAAAATACAAAACATTAGCTGGGCATGGTGGCACGTGCCTGTAATCCCAGCTACTCAGGAGGCTGAGGCAGGAGAATTGCCTGAACCCAGGACGCGGAGGTTGCAGTGAGCCGAGATCGCGTCATTGCACTCCAGCTTGGGTAACAAGAGCGAAAACTCCATCTCAAAAAAAAAAAAAAAAAAAAAGCTTTTTAAAGATGGTCCCTATTGGGCCAAGCATTGATTTTTGCTCAGTTGATTTTGTTTTATGGGATTATCATTTGCATATGCCTTTTAAACCTCTTTGGAACAGAGATACTGAAATGCTAAAACTTACTCTCTTCCTTTATTCTGATCTCCAGAAACATTTATACCAAACAGGAAAGTGAGTCCCAGATGTAGGGCTGTCATTTGTCAATTGCTGATGCTCAGATGAAATTGCCAACAATGGCCACACAGATCTCAGAGGAGAAAACATGGAGTTTTTAGAAGGTAACACTGCTGTATTTCTTTTCCCTCCTTTCATCTCCAAATGAGGTACCTCTAACAATAGAACCAGTGGGGCCAGAGAAAAGCCAGGCACAAAGAGAGAAAATCAAGAGCCTAGGGGCAGGCACAGTGACTCACACCTATAATCCTGGCATTTGGGGAGGCGGAGACAGGTGGATCACATGAGGCCAGGAGTTTGAAACCAGCCTGGGCAATATGGCAAAACCTCATCTCTACTAAAAATACAAAAAATTAGCCAGGCATGGTGGCTAATTTAGTATGTTTAGTCTCAGCTACTTGGGAGGCTGAGGCAGGAGAATTGCTTGAACCTAGGAGGTGGAGGTTGCAGTGAGCTGGGATCACACCACTGCACTCCAGCCTAGGAGACAGAACAAACTCTATCTCAAAAAAAAAAAGCATGAACGTGCTACTTTAAATATTGGTAATGAATTCATTAAACATAAGTTTACAGTCCTACTACTTATTGCTGGTCACTGCAAATCGAGGGGTGTACAAGGCAGGCACAGACTACATTCATGAAACTGACAGACTATTGGACCGTTCCCTTTGCTGAAGTGACTGACTTCCTGGTGGCCTTGGTCTCTCTGTCCCTCAGTGCTTACCTTTCTAAAACAAAAAGGTCTGCCTGCATCTGGTGAGATGAGCATCTGGCAGGGGATCGCCAAGCCTGGACAAAGGCCAGCTCTGCTGGTTGCTACAGCTTAGCCTTCATATCAATTGCATTTCCACCTCCCAGTATACTGGAACTACTGCTTGAAAGGGTTCACCCTGGCCTCCCATAGTGGCTTATGCTTATAATCCCGGCACTCTGGGAGGCCAAGGGAAGTGGATCACTTGAGGTCAGGAGTTCAAGACCAGCCTGGCCAACATGGTGAAACCCCATCTCTAGCAAAAATACAAAAATTAACTGGACGTGGTGGCACACATCTCTGATCCCAGCTACTTGGGAGGCTGAGACAAGAGAATCGCTTGATCCCAGGAGGTGAAGGAAGCAGTGAGTGAAGATTGCATCATTGCACTCCAGCCTGAACAATGAAGTAAAACTCTGTCTAAATAAATAAATAAATCACGCCTGTAATCCCAGCACCTTGGGAGGCTGAGGGGGGTGGATCACAAGGTCAAGAGATGGAGACCATCCTGGCCAACATGGTGAAACCCCGTCTCTACTAAAAATACAAAAATTAGCTGGGCGTGGTGGCACACACCTGTAGTCCCAGCTACTCAGGAGGCTGAAGCAGGAGAATCGTTTAAACCCAGGAGGCAGAGGTTGCAGTGAGCCAAGATCAAACCACTGTACTCCAGCCTGGTGACAGAGTGGGACTCTGTCTCAAAAAAGAAAAAAGAAAAAGAAAGAGTTTGCCCCTCCTCTTTTTCACCCAGAAAAATGATTTTCCATACCCTTCTTCTTCCCACTCAATGTTATCTACCAATAGGAAGCGATGATATCAATATCACTTCCAAACACATTCTTCTAGTTCAAAAAGATCTCAAGACTTTAAGGAAATGAAAGGTGGGGTACCCAGATAAGCAGTCCTTTCCTGCACCAACATCCTATGAGTCTATGAAAAGTTTAACTATGGAGAGACAGAGCAGCACACTGGTTTAGAGTGTCCGCTCCAGAATCAGATGTGGGTTCAAATTCCCTACTTTCTAGCTGTATAACTTTGGATTTGTAAATGAATCTTTCAGAGCCTGAGTCTCTCCATCTGTCAAATGAAGGTAATAAGGGTTATTGGGAGGACTAAATGATACGGTGCCTTAAACATATTAACTATTCAATATTATGGGCCGGGCGCAGTGGCTCACACCTGTAATCCCAGCACTTTGGGAGGCTGAGGTGTGCGGATCACGAGGTCTGGAGTTTGAGAGCATTCTGGCTAACATGGTGAAACCCCGTCTCTACTAAAAGATACAAAAAATTAGCTGGGTGTGGTGGCACACAGCTGTAGTCCCAGCTACTCGGGAGGCTGATGCAGGAGAATCGCTTAAACCTGGGAGGTGGAGGTTGCAGTGAGCCGAGATTGCGCCACTGCACTCCAGCCTGGGCAACAGAGCAAGACTCCATTTCAAAAAACAAACAAACAAAAACTATTCAATAAAAGTTAATTCCTCTGTATTATTGCTATGGTTGTTAATGCTATTACTGCCATTACTATTAAACAAGACAGTCCATAGCCCTAATCCTGTCTGCATCATTTCAGATGCTGCAGTGTTTTGTTGTTTTTTTGTTTTTGAGAGGGAGTCTCCCTTTGTTGCCCAGGCTGGAGGGCAGTGGCATGATCTTGGATCACTGCAACCTCCGCCTCCAGGTTCAAGCGATTCTCCTGCCTCAGCCTCCCGAAAACCTGGAATTACAGGCACCTGCCACCACACCTGGCTAATTTTTTGTATTTTCAGTAGAGGGGGGTTTCACCATGTTCGACAGGCTGCTCTTGAACTCCTGAACTCAAGTGATCCACCTGCCTCTGTCTCCCAAAGTGCTGGGATTACAGGCATGAGCCACTGCACCCAGCCAGATGCTGCAGTGTTTTAACAGTGTTATTATTTTAATAGCAAAATACACTTTGCTTATCACGATTAAAAAGAAGATGAAGAAAAGAAAAAGCAGAAGAGGTCTCAAACGTTAAGTATATATAATACCCTTCCTGCCACCTACGTGTACTCTCTGTACTCCAGTGTTTATCATAAAGGTCTTCCGTTTAAAAAAAAAAAAAGAAAGAAAGAAAGATAAGAATATCCTCCCTTAAGAGCACAAGGTTATATTCCTAGGTCACACAGCTGTTTCATTTATTAAAATCTTGCTTCAGTGTTCTTTATTCCCATTTCAAAAACTTGAAACTGACCCAAAGACATTGGCACATCTGCAGGCTGAAATAAATTAAAATCAGAAAGGAGATCTTACGTTGGGATAAACCAGGTCAAATATGTGGAATTTTACAGTTTATATCTGAGGTCAAGAACCTCCCGTACGTGCACTCCACGCACCCTGGGAGGGAGAACAAGGACAGCTATGCTGAAAGAAAATGGCTTCTGTAAAGGCAAACTCATTTAACTCCTTTTTTCAAAAAAAAAAAAAAAAAAAAAAAAATAGCCAGAGTAGCCAGGCGCTGTGGCTCACACCTGTAATCCCAGCACTTTAGGAGGCTGAGGCAGGCAGATCACCTGAGGGCAGGAGTTCAAGACCAGCCTGACTAACACAGTGAAACCCCATCTCTACTAAAAATACAAAAATTAACTGGGTATGGTGGCACGCGCCTGTAGTCCCAGCTACTTGGGAGGCTGAGGCAGGAGAATCGCTTGAATCCAGGAGGCAGAGGTTGTAGTGAGCCAAGACCATGCCATTGCAGTCCACCCTGGGTGACAGAGTGAGACTTTGTCTCAAAAAAAAAAAAAAAAAAAAAAAAAAAAGCCAACAAACAAAAAGCCAAAGAGGAGGTTAAAAAATTGACTTATCTTTAACTTCTATGCACTGAGATACTGTAATCTTGGTTTTAGTTACAGACTTACAGCAATTAGCTATACAAAACATAAGCATTGTTAAAACCTTTTAAGCTAAGGAATTTAGAGACTTCTGTTGTGCTACAATGTTTTTTGTGGTCTTTCCGTAATTTATTCTAAAAAATTTTTTTGAAATATATGTCTATTTCCATAAATCTCATAATTTGGAGTACTATACCTAGAAGACTTTAACATGAGGTACCTTTATATCCTCTCAGTAATAATTTTCTTTTAAGTCTTCAGGGAGCAGGAAATTCTTTATGGTTTGGATGGATGAAAAGGTGCCACATATGTAATAACCCAGGAGGCAGAGTCCCTTATTTTGCCAGCTGCTTAGGCATCAGTGTACCCATTTTTGATTTGGAAGGTCTGAATTAATTCTCTCAAAACTGGCCATTATAATCTCAAACACCTACCTCTTCTGTAATAGGTCCCTGGGCCCTAGAGAAGGGTGCTTATATAATTTTAGCATCAGGGAATTTGCAGTGAAAAGCAGATCAGGACCAGTGGTATTCCAAATGAGGAATTCTCTAGCCTTGGAATACCATAATTCTGGTTTTTTGGAAGTAAAACTAAGAGATATAAATAACATTAATAATATGACAGTCAAAAGAGTATTCGTGTGTCAGAACAGAAAAAGAAACCTATTCCATTAGGGCACAAACTAAAAACATGAAGAAAAATTATAACCTGGTTTATCTTTAGAGGGTTGTTGTAGCCAAGAAATAATTAATGATTCAATATGCACTCAAAAAACAAAAGTCTAGGCTGGAAATCTAGCAACAGGTGTTATATTTTTCCTTTGAAAACATTTCTTTCTCTAGCCTTCTTTTTTTTTTTTTTTTTTTTTTTTTGAGTCTCACTCCATTGCCCAGGCTGGAGTGCAGTGATGAAATCTTGGCTCACTGCCCTCCACCTCCCTGGGCTCAAGCAATCCTCCCATCTCAGCCTCCTGAGTAGCTGGGACTACTGGCATGCGCCACCATGCCCAGGTAATTTTTTTGTATTTTTGGTGGAGACAGTGTTTCACTATGTTGCCCAGGCTGGTCTTAAACTTCTGAGCTCGAGCAACCCACCTGTCTCAGCCTCCCAAAGTACTGGGATTATGGATGTGAACTACTGCGCCCAGCCCCTGCTTTCATACTAAAGACAGATTATACTTTGCTTGATCATTCACATAAAGTCCAGCAAAAATTTGATTGGCCATGTAGGCTCTTTTCAAGTTGGCTTTGCTAGAACTTTATCTAAAAATGTTATTCCAGTCAAAGCCTTGGCAAAATAACCAGTGTCTCCAATTATCCTGTTTCAAAAGAAAAGACTCTTACTAAAATATGCAAATAACTATGTTACCATAAAATCAGAATATTCACAAAAGTTTCCTGAATTTTGGAGAACTTGTTAAAGTAGGTATAATAACTAGTCAGGCGTGAGCAGGGCAGGAAAAGGCTCCCCCAGCAGATCCCACCAGGAATATCAGGTGACCATTAGGTGATGATCAGGTGGTGGTTAACTGTCTCTCTAAAATCACAGTTGGTCTCCGCCAGCACCAGGGAAAGGAAGTCTCTCAGTAAACAGAAACACCTGAAACTGGTGATCAGCAGCTTCCTGATAAGATCTCAGGAGTTGAGGGGGGGGTGCCTCACACCTGTAATCAGCACTTTAGGAGGCCAAGGCAGGTGGATCATGAGGTCAGGCGTTCAAGACCAGCCTGGCCAACATAGTGAAACCCCGTCTCTAACAAAAGTACAAAAAATTAGCCAGGTGTGGTGGCAGGCGCCTGTATCCCAGCTACTTAGGAGACTGAGGCAGGAGAATCACTTGAACTCGGGAGGTGGACGTTGTAGTGAGCTGAGATCATGCCACTGCACTCCAGCCTGGGTGACAGAGTGACACTCTGTCTCAAAAAAAAAAAAAAAGATTATATACCAGTTAAATGCCACCATTTTGCCTCTTTTTTTTTGGACAGGGTTTCACCATGTTGGGCAGGCTGGTCTGGAATGCCTGACCTTGTGATCCACCTGCCTCGGCCTCCCAAAGTGCTGGGATTACAGGCATGAGCCACTAACTGGTATATAATCTTCTAAGAACATTTGACCAGTAAGAGAAGTGTGCCTCAAGATAGCATGCATACTGGCCAGGCATGGTGGCTCACGCCTGTAATCCTGGCACTTTGAGAGACTGAGGCGGGCAGATTACCTGAGGTCAGGAGTTCAAGGCCAGCTTGGCCAACATGGCAAAACCCTGTCTCTACTAAAAAGCACAAAAATTAGCTGGGGTGGTTGTCCACACCTGTAATCCCAGCTACTTAGGAGGCTGAGGCAGGGAGACTTGCTTGAACCCAGGAGGCGGAGGTTGCAGTGAGCCGAGATCACACCACTGCACTCCAGCGTGGGTGACAGAGAGAGACTCTGTCTCAAAAACAAATAAAATAAAATAAAATCGTTGTCTGAGGTAGTGAAAGTCAAACAAACCTTTAACTCTAAAGCAGAACAGCCTCCAGATGTTGACAACTTCTCTCCAATTGGTCTGATCAGAAAATCTTGAGCAAATCGTGAATTCTTCAAGATAGCTGCCGTTTCTTCATCCACTTCAACAATTTCACCTTCCTAAAGGGTAGTATAAAAAAAACATATGCAGGCCGGGCACGGTGGCTCATGCCTATAATCCCAGCACTTTGGGAGGCTGAGACGGGTGGATTACGAGGTCAGGAGATCAAGACCATCCTGGTCAACATGGTGAAACCCCATCTCTACTAAAAAATGCAAAAATTAGCTGGGTATGGTGGTGCACGCCTGTAGTCCCAGCTGCTTGGGAGGCTGAGGCAGGAGAATTGCTTGAACCCAGGAGACGGAGGTTGCGGTGAGCCGAGATCGCGCCATTGCACTCCAGCCTGGATAACAAGAGTGAAACAACTCCGTCTCAAAAAAAAAAGAAAGAAAAAAAACCCCATATGCTGAGTTGCAACTTTAGTCTCAATAGAAGAAAAATGCCCAGAAGTACCCTTTTCTCTACATCCTCACCAGTAGTAGTAGTTTTTATACACTGTTGATAGGAATTTAAATTAGTACACCATTATGGAAAACAGTATGGAGATTCCTCAAAAGATTAAAAATAGAACTACCATATGACCCAGAAATCCCACTACTGGGTATATATCTAAAGAAAATGAAATCAGTGCGTCAAGGAAATATCTGTACTCACCATGTTGACTGCAGCATTAATCACAATAACCAAGATATGAATCAACCCAGGCTTCTATCAATGGATGAATGGATGAAGAAAATGTGGCATATAGTCTCAGGATACAAAATCAATGTGCAAAAATCAGAAGCATTCCTATACACCAGTAACAAACAGAGCCAAATCATGAGCAAACTCCCATTCACAATTGCTACAAAGAGAATAAAATACCTAGGAATACAATTAACAAAGGACGTGAAGGATCTCTTCAAGGAGAACTACAAACCACTGCTCAAGGAAATAAGAGAGGACATAGATGGAAAAACATTCCATGCTCATGGTTAGGAAGAATCAATATCGTGAAAATGGCCATACTGCCTGAAGTAATTTATAGATTCAATGCTATCCCCATCAAGCTACCATTGACCTTCTTCACAGAACTGGAAAAAAACCACCTTAAACTTCATATGGAACCCAAAGAGAGCCCACATAACCAAGACAATCCTAAGCAAAAAGAACAAAGCTGGAGGCATCACGCTACCTGACTTCAAACTATACTAGAAGGCTACAGTAATCAAAACAGCATAGTGCTGGTACCAAAACAGAGATATAGACCAATGGAACAGAACAGAGGCCTTAGAAGTAATGCCACATACCTACAACCATCTGATCTTTGACAAACCTGACAAATACAAGCAACAGGGAAAGGATTCCCTGTTTAATAAATGGTGTTGGGAAAACTGGCTAGCCATGTGCAGAAAGCAGAAACTGGACCCCTTCCTGACATGTTATAGAAAAATTAACTCCAGATGGATTAAAGATTTCAACATAAGACCTAACACCATAAAAACCCTAGAAGAAAACCTAGGCAGAACCACACAGGACATAGGCATAGGCAAGGACTTCATGACTAAATCACCAAAAGCAATGGCAACAAAAGCCAAAATAGACATATGGGATCTAATTAAACTTAAGAGCTTCTGTACAGGAAAAGAAACAGTCATTAGAGTGAACCGGCAAACCAATGGAATGGGAAAAAATTTTTGTAATCTACTCATCTGATAAAGGACTAATATCCAGAATCTACAAATAACTAAAATAAATATACAAGAAAAAGACAACCCCATCAAAAAGTGGGTGAAGGATATGAACAAACACTTTTCAAAAGAAGACATTATGTGGCCAACAAACATATGAAAAACTGCTCATCATCACCGGTCATTAGAGAAATGCAAATCAAAACCACATTGAGATACCATCTCACACCAGTTAGAATGGTGATTATTAAAAAATCTGGAGACAACAGATGCTGGGAGGATGTGGAGAAAATAACACTTTTACACTGTTGGTGGGAGTGTAAATTAGTTCAACCATTGTGGAAGACAGTGTGGCGATTCCTCAAGGATCTAGAAATAGAAATTCCATTTGTCCCAGCAATCTCATTACTGGGTATATACCCAAAGGATTATAAATCGTTCTATTATAAAGACACATGTACACATATGTTCATTGTGGCAGTGTTTACAATAACAAAGACTTGGAACCAACCCAAATGCCCATCAAGGATAGACTGGATAAAGAAAATGTGGCATATATACACCATGGAATACTATGCACCCATAAAAAAGGATGAGTTCATGTCCTTTGCAGGAACATGGATGAATCTGGAAACCATCATTCTCAGCAAACTGACACAAGAACAGAAAACCAAACACTGCATGTTCTTACTCAAGTGGGTGTTGAACAATGAGAACACATTGACACAGGGAGGGGAACATCACACACTGGGGTCTGTTGCGGGGTGGGGGGCTAGGGGAGGGATAGCAGTAGGTGGGGAGGTTGTGGGGATAACATTAGGAGAAATACCTAATGTGGGTGATGGGGGGATGGAGGCAGCAAATCACCATGACATGTGCATGCCTAGGTAACAATCCTGCAAGATTTGCACATGTACTCCAGAACTTAAAGTAAAATAAAAATAAAATGTGGCATATATACACAATGGAGTACTAACCAAACTTTAAAAAAGAAGGAAACCCTGTCATTTGCAGCAACTGCATGGAACTGCAGGTCATTATGTTAAGAGAAATAAGGCAAACACAGAAAGACAAATACCACATGTTCTCACTGATACGTGGAAGCTAAAAAAGTGGATCTCATTAAGATATAGAGTACATTGGTGGTTACCAAAGGCCAGAAAGGGTACAGGTTGAGGGAGATAAAGAGAAGTTGATTAATGCTTACAAATATAGGGTCTGATGAAAGAAATAAGACCTAGTGTTTGATATATCAGTAAAGTTACTATAGTTTACAATAATATATTGTATATTTCAAAATAGCTATAAGAGGATAATTTTAATGTTTCTAACATAAAGAAAAGACAAACATTTAAGGTGATAGGTATCCCAATTACACTACTTTGATCTTTACAAATTATATGAATGTATTAAATTATCATGAACCCCGTAAAATATGTACATTGATTATGCATCAATTTAAAAAAAGTAAAGTCTTTATGTATCAATAATAACACTGAATGTCAATGAACTCAATTCTCCAATTAAGAGACATAGAGTAGGCTGGGCATGGCTCATGCCTGTAATCCCAGCACTTTGGGAAGCTGAGGTGGGCAGATCACAAGGTCAAGAGGTTGAGAACATCCAGGCCAACATGGTGAAACTCCATCTCTACTAAAAAATACAAAATATTAGCTGGGGATGGTGGTGCACGCCTGTAGTTCCAGCTACTTGGGAGGCTGAGGCAGGAGTATTGCTTGAACCCGGGAGGCGGAGGCTGCAGTGAACTGAGATCACCCCACTGCACTCCAGCCTGGTGTCTGGTGACAGAGTGAGACTCTGTCTCAAAAAAAAAAAAAAAAAAAAAAAAAAAAAAGGAGGCATAGAGTGCTGTGAAAAGCTTGTAGCAAAGAGGGCAAACGAAGAAGCAGGTTCTGAAGTTCATTCTTGATTATGCCTACCTTCTAAAGGATGGAATCATAAGTACTGCCAATTTTGAGCAGTTTTTGCAAGAGAGGATCAAAGTGAATGGAAAAGCTGGGAATCTTGGTGGAGGATTATAACCCTTGAAAGGAGCAAGAGCAAGAGCAAGAGCACTGTGACTTCTGAGGTTCCTTTTTCCAAAAGGTATCTGATATATCTCACCAAAAAATATTTGAAGAATAATCTATGGATTGGTTGTGTGTAGTTGCTAACAGCAAAAAGAGTTATGAGTGATGTTACTTCCAAATTAGGCTGGATGAAGAAGAGGAGGAAGGTGAGGATTAAAATTTATTTATCCAGAATATTTTGTATGAGTTCTTGAATAAAACTTGTAAAATGCCCCACTACCAAGAAAAAAAAGGAATAGAGTGGCTGGAATGGATAAAAAAAAAAAAAAATGGGACCCAATTATATGCTGCCTACAAGAAACCTACTTTACTTATAAAAATACTGAAAGTGGGCCGGGCTTTGTGGCTCAAGCCTGTAATCCCAGCACTTTGGGAGGCCGAGGCGGGTGGATCACGAGGTCAAGAGATCGAGACCATCCTGGTCAACATGGTGAAACCCCGTCTCTACTAAAAATACAAAAAAAATACCAGCTGGGCATGGTGGTGCATGCCTGTAATCCCAGCTACTCAGGAGGCTGAGGCAGGAGAATTGCCTGAACCCAGGAGGCGGAGGTAGTGGTGAGCCAAGATCGTGCCATTGCACTCCAGCCTGGGTAACAAGAGCGAAACTCCGTCTCAAAAAAATAAATAAATAAATAAATAATACTGAAAGTTAAGGGGTGGAAAAAAGACATTCCATGCAATTGGAAACCAGAAAAGAACAGAAGTAGCTATACTTATATAAGATAAAATAGATGCTGAATCAAGGCTGTCAAAAGAGACAAAGAAGGTCACTCTATAATGATAAAGGGGTCAATTCAGCAAGAGGATATAAGTATCTATGCACCCAACACTGGAGCTCCAAAATATATAAAGCAAACCTTAATAGATCTAGAATAGATATACTGTAATGCAATAATTGTAGGGGTCTTTTAACACCATACCTACTACTCTCAGTAAGATGGAGCATTCATACAGAAAATAATAAAGAAACATTAAACTAGATCAAACATACTAGATCAAATAGGCCTAGCTGACATTTACAGAACATTTTATCCAACAGCTGCAGAATAAACATTCTGCTCAATAGCACATGGAACATTCTCCAGCATAGACTATATCTTAGGCCACAAAACAAGTCTTAACACATTTTAAAAAGTAGAAATCATAACAAGTATCTTTCTTACCACAATGGGATAAAACTGAAAATCAATAACAAGAACGTTGGCTAATTCACAAACACATGGAAATTAAACAACATGCTCCCAAATAACCAATGGGTCCATGAATAAGAGAAAAATTTTAAATTTCTTGAAACAA